TCAGGAAAAACTTCTTCATGGCAAGGGTGGCCAAAATTTGGAATGGGCTTCCAAGTAGGGCTGTGCGAAGCTTTGGGTGGTGATTTGATTCAGAGGAGATTCGGCCTGATTAGAATCAGGGGACCAATTTAAAGGTCCGAATCAATTCAAAGCTCTCCAAATCTTTGGCAAAGATTCGGAGAGCTTTGATGATTCGAACAGTCCCCGATGGGTCCGAGACACTCCGAGCTGGTAAGTACTGGCGGTGGAAGGGGGGATGGTGGAGGAGGGAGGGGACCATGGGGGGACGCCTGCCAACCCCTCTGAGCCCCCCATGCCTCTGCCTGCTCCCCCAGTCCCTCCATGGCTGCCCCCACCTGCCCCAGCTCAGTACTTTAAAAAAAAGTCCTGGTGCTCACTGGGTGCTGCAGGCAGGGGGGCGATCCCCCCCCACTGCCCCATGCTGCATGGGGGGCTCTGCACAAGCCCCCTTGATCTCCCCCATGCTCCCCAAGCCCCGCCACAGGTACCCCACCTGCCAGGTCTCTGGCCCTTTAAGAAAAAAAAAAAGCCAACCCGGGACTCACCATTCCTGGTGCAGCCTCTGAGCTTCAGGGCCTCATGCAGAGCCTCCCACGTAGTGGGGGTACCGGGGATCACCCCCTGCTGGCGGAAGCAGCAAGTCCCGGAGTTTCTTCAGAGTTTTTTTTTCTTAAAGGGCGGGAGCTGGCCTGTGTGGGGCACTTGTGAGGGGGCTAGGGGAGCCGAGGGGGGCTCATACAGAGCCCCCCATGCAGTGTGGGGTGGTGGGGGGCAGCAAGGATTGCCCCCCACCTGGCAGCACCCACTGAGTCGCGGGGGTTCCCCCCCAAGTGCTGGGAGCTGGGGCAGGTGGGGCAGCCATTGACAGGCTGGGAAAGAGGCGGGGGATGGGCCTGGCCTGGCTAATTCAGCAATTCGGTCTAATTGAATCAGGACAGTGATTCTAATCACCAAATCAAATCACTGTCCCCCAAATCGGCCGAATCCAAAGTGAATTCTAGCCGCTTTGCACAGGCCTACTTCCAAGGGAGGTGATGCTGTCCCCTAACTTGGGGGTCTTTAAGAGAAGGCTAGATAGGCATCTGACCCCAGCACTCTTTCCTGCCTAGGCAGGGAGTTGGACTTGATCTGTTGAGGTCCCTTCTGAACCTAGCATCTACGAATCTATGAACTAGATGTTTCAGAGAAAGGTAAAAGTGGACAACAGACAATAATAGAAAATAACCTGCCAATATGGGAGGTTTCTTTCTAATGCCTACCAGTGAGCAGATTGGTTTATTACCCAAAATTAGGTGGGTGTTAATCCCAAGCACAATTTCTTTTCAACTTATTAAATGTAACTGTGAATCTCCTACACAACCATCTAACTCTGGTAAGTTTTTGCTTTCAGTAATGTCCAGTGACAAAGAAGTCTCTTTTTATGTTGTATAAAATAAATAAAAATAAACCCCTTATTACTTTAACTTAGTTGCTTTCAAATCGCATTCAATGTTTTTCTAATATTATAAGGAGTAGTAAATAGGAACCTTTGATTTACCTTCTTAGTACCATTTATTATTTAGTTTATGTTTATTGTCTCCTTTTACTCGCATCCTCTTTAAACTAACAATCCCAAAGACCTTTCTGTTTCTTTTCAGATGGAAGTCTTCCTATGTCTCTACTTAGTGTTGTTTTCCATATAACACTGCCTTCTGCATTTCATGACTTTTCAAATTTCTTGAAGATGACAATGTAAAAAAAAACTATCTAGAAACCATGATTAATCATAAAAAGGATCACATTTCATAGACAGTTAATATGGCTGTTCACATGAAAAACTATTAAAAATGCAGAACTAGGTCCTATGATACAGAATAATAGTAAAGCATACTATACCTAATAGAAAAAGATAGGAAAAATAGGTTCCATGATAGACTTCCTTCATATCAAGATTTTAAAGAATGCTATCAGCATTAAATGCACAATAAGATGCAGGAAAACAGCAACACATGATCCATACGTTGGTTATAGCTAATGTCACCTCTGTCACAACCAACATAATGGTAAAGGTGCACACGGTACCTTCCTCTTGCAGATGACAACTCTGCCATCTGCTCCAGAGGATGTCTCTTTATTCAGTTTGCTGTAAGAAGAGATGCAAATTAGATATCCCCTATTCTTCTATTTGTTTTATACAGAGAGCATAATTTCTGCACGAACATCCAACTGTGTTCTCATCCTCTTTATGTCACGGAAACCTCATTTATCAGTCATTCTTCTCCATATGAAAAGAACTATAATGAGAAGCCTTTCTGTCATTGCCCTGATCCTCTGAGTCAGTAGTTTTCACTTCCCTCTAATATTTGCAACTTCGGCTGAAATTTTATTTGCTGTCATTTCATACCCCAGCCTTTACACAGGCACATCTGTGGATGGAACTTGGAAAAGGCTTAGTATTTGCCTTCAGGGTTGCACAAGGATTAGATGGCTCTGAAAACTAGACTTTTGATCTGTTACATTTTCAAAAGGAAGCCAAAAAGGAAGTTTGATCTATTGTACTGAACTTAGGATGTGATTATTCCAGTGCAAATCATCATAGCATTTAAATACATTTTTTCCACTGGGTCATCTGGGCAAGAATATTTGTATTATGAGACTACTGAAGAGAAAAGTCCATGACATATTGCACTATTATTTTTCTCTTGAATAAGAAAAGTGTGAAATACAATAACTTGTCTATTAAACAACTGTTTTTACTTTTACTTGTCACAGATAACATCCTGATGCTCCTTTCAAAAAGCAGCTTCTAAGAGCACAGCACTATACACAAGCCAGAAGAGTGTGTGTGTGTGTTTAAAATTCCCATATAGGCAAAAACAAAAAGCAGATCTATAGCTTTGTATTTTGAAGATAATCTTGTTATTGAATAGAACCAATTTCTACTAAAGTCTCAATATTTCAGTGCCTCAATTAATTTAAACATAATGATTCAAATGTATCACTAGTAAGACTCCATAATTTAATTGTACTGGAATGAATTACCTTGATCTAAGAAAGAGGCAGATGTAATGCATTTGTTAAGAGCCAGTGTTTCAGTTATATACATTTTATCACCACATTTTTAAGTTCCTGCATAAAATACTTATTGATAACACATAATACAGAGGGATTGTTGTACTCTCTCAGGACAAAGAGTGTAAGAGTATAGATGAAGGTTACATTTAGCTTCTGAAAATCATAAACCAAGATCTCCACTTTATATCTAAACAAAGAAGCACAAAAGATTCACATAGCTATAAACGTGCAAAAGCTTTTCACGGCTTGTCTAGAGTATGTCTTCTAGGGATAGAATTAGAGAGAAAAATGGAATTATCATAAACAGAAGGCTGCCAAGTCTGACTGACACAAACAGAAATAGGATCCTACAATGACTGCCTCAATAGTTTCATATTAAGCCTGGCATTTCTACTCTTTTGTCTCTTCTGCTTTTTCTGACATTCCTAAATCTCAAAACAACTCCAAAGAGGGTGAGAGTGAGAGAAGACCAATGGGACAGAACAAAGGCTGATGCCTTCAGAGCAGAGATGTTGTGAGGAGTGATTCAATTCTTCTGTTGGCTTGTGTGTGTCATAATTACTTGTCAGGCTGATTGAAACCATCAAGGCTGTGGTAGAAACCAAGTTTTCAAGAAAAACAGAATCTCTAAGGAGGGGAATGCTTTGGATAGAGACATGTTTTATGGTTGTTAAATCTTAGTTTTGAGAAGAGAAATATACCACTTGGAGCTACGTATTGACTATTCAATTAAAAAATACCCCTTCCTTTCATAATGGGGGAAAAGGAGGAGGAGGGAGAGCTCTTAGTTGGATGTGCAAGAGTCAGTATTGAAGCGCATCCTGTTTTTGCTAGCCCACCCCTGCAACCTATCCAGGTCCTGCTGCAGTCTTTCCCTCCCTACTAGCATGCTCACCTCACCCCAAATTTTGGTATCACCAGCAAATTTAAACAGGGTGCTTTTCACCCCGTCATCCAAATCACTGATAAAGAGATTGAACAGCGCAGGCCCAAGAACGGAGCCCTGGGGGACTCCGTTGCCCACTTCTCCCCAGGTCGAATATGACCCATCCACCACCACCCTGACAGAGCATTTAGCCACCCCATCAAGAAAACAAAAGAAGGAAAGAGAAGAACAATCACTAAGATCTGTTGTAAAGAGTCTTTTTTGACATATCAAGAGCACAAAACTTGATACAGCATATCTCCTTTTCATTCTCTAGATCAATTCTGAATTTTCTGAAAAAAGTCCATCTCTCCATAGAACCATATTCATTTTCTGTGCACCATAAGAAATATGATCCCTATATGATCACTTTTGTCTAAACCAGCTCTGCAAAACTTTACTTGCCTAGAATCCCAAGAAGAGCACTTATTTCTTCATAAATAGTATCCCCCCTCCCTTTTATTCTTAATGTATATCTACCTGATGGCAATGCATGACTGCTTTTTGAGTATACACATCCAAACTAGACTTAAGATACCTACCTTTGCCAGCTGCAAAATTCTCCTAGGAAGCTTGGTAAATATGCAACCTACTAATCTGGTGGCAATTTTGAAAGTGATCTAATCTTCTTTTACTTATGCATTTTAAAGATGAAAACTAAAGGCAAAGCTGATTTTAAAACGGGAATTAAACCAAAGGTATATACACACTTCCTGACTAAGTTCTTCAGGTATATGCATGTATTAGTTAAATCACATACAAATCAAGTTCACACAAGTGTTTCTAGCCCAAAATAAGCTAAAGAAAGAGAAATGTATTGACATAAAAGCATGAAAGACAATATTATATGAAAATTATGGCAGTGGGCAACTAAGAGAAACCAAGTTCATTACCCAAAATAAAAGAGCTGGTTGGCAGTGGCTTTTTTCAGGGAGGTAAGCACTGCTTGCAGTGGAAAGCATCCTCCAGCTGAGCAGCAGGAACATTGATTCACACATACCTGCTGTCTCCAATTTTCTCTTGCAAGACTGTCATCTTCTCAGCTTTCTCAGCAGATATTCTGCCACTTGGCTTTCTGCCTCCTTTCTGGAGCAGAAAAAAGAAAATATATTAACCGCCAAAAAACTGAGTTGTAATTTATGATGTGCTAATGTTTTCCTCTGTATTGATAAGTGAAAATAATTACTAATGCAAAGTCATCACCACTTGGATTTGGTGGCTTTTGATTTGTATATATGGTTCAGAATCCACTATACCTTCATACTGTTAATTCCTGAAGCAAAATTAAGCCCCCACTACTACAAAAATCATAATATCTTAACATTTTCTTGGGCCAAATCACAATAAGGAATATGGCAGTTTATACAGCATTATATTTTAAAAAGCTCAGACAATTTCGGTCATCCAATCCAATCCTTCTTACCTGTGCCTGCATTTATAGGATTACTGGCTGCTTCATTCCCAGTAAGGTTTAATCTCATCTGTATCTGAATGCAGTGATCATGCCTCATCCACTCACTCTGCTGCGCTCCCAACCACAGCTGCCCTACCTGTTAAGACTTTTACCCTGAATTTTTCATCTTTAACTTCAAGCCATTGGTCTTTGCCCTATCAACTTCTACCAAATCTTAAGAAAAACTCTTTAAAAAAATTTACCCTTATTTTACATTAACATCTTCCTTTTAGCTTCCGCATAGAAATTATTATAGAATTTGGCCCCCATTATCTGATTAGATTAGTATATTTAAACTTCAAGAGAGTTGAAGAGATTACTTTTCAATTATTTTTTGGAAGTCCTAAGGACATGAATCATTGTTTTAAATAGACTTCCAGATAAATAGCATACTTGCCCAAAGCCAAGACAACTCTGAATTTAAGAATCACAATAATTAGATTCTGTACATTTAAAATTTATAAATGCTTATTGTATATTTATAAATTTGTTACAAATTTCCATGTGTAGAATTATTGGAGAGATGTCCTAAATGTGTTCCCCTAACTGCTTGCTGCAGTACGGAAAACAGTGGCAAGGAAGCAGGCAGTGGGGGGAAGGCATGGGACAGATGGTGGGGGAGTCAAGGAGCTTGACCCCTGCACCCTGCCATATCGTACCTATCGCCTGTACCTCCAACCACTTGCCCCCTGTGCTGCCTGCCCCTTGGCACCTGTACCTCCCTATTTCTGTACCCCCTAATACCTGCCCTCCCCCTAGTGCTGCCCCTCTACATGGCCTCCCTTGCAGCCTCTGTCCCCTGTCTAGCCCCCACCTCTCCTGAACCCACTACAGCCTCTGCTCCCCTGTGCCTCCCCCCATCCGCTGCCACTTACCCTCATTCTGGCTCTGGCCCTGGCCCTGCTCCAGCCTGGGACACAAAGCAAGTGTTTACTCAAGCCCCAGGAGTGGCAGTGGCAGCAGCTCCAGCCTGGGCTCTAGGCTCCAACTGGAGCTGCTGCCGCTGCCATCAACAGTTACTGGGCCAGGCTGGGGCTGGAGCAAGCATGTGCTCTGTGTCTCAGTCTGGGGCAGGGCTAGAGCTGGAGTGAAGGTAAACTGTGGAGGATGGGGGGCAGGTAGCAGCTGCAGCTTTGACACTGTTACTGGGTCAGGGCTGGAGTCAGAGTCACAGCAACTACCTTGTAGGGCTGTGCAAAAC